ATTGCAGCACATACCATCAGAACCCTGCTCTCCAGGTCACGCAAAAAACACGGCATTGTGTACTTCTTGCATCGGGCTACTTTAACAGTCATTGGGGAGGTCACTATTGTTGATTTTGGACTAAATTCATGGCAAACACGTGCATTCATCTCTTTGAGTGTAAATCAGGTGAAAGTTTAGTCAATACGTCGTGGACACGGTCTTACAATCACCATGATGCAAAATAAAATGCGTTCTGTGCACTCTTGTATTATGATCAATATTTATCTTTCCATTTGCACTCATTCTTTGAATGTGACTGTATAACACTTGTATGAGCACATTTGCCTTCCATTCCTTTTAATGTATTTCATTGCTCTCAAGTATAGAACTATTGATGCATGCATATGCATACCAACGGGAGTTTCCTATTTTGTGCACTCGGTTCGGAAGTGCTGCAGAGAACAAACAATGTCGACCGAGACCACCAGAAAAACTTTGATCAAACGGATAAGACTACTGTAGTGGTGGCCCGACTGCCAACTTCCATTGTTCAGTATGTCAAGCACACACCAACTGATCTTGGGGTAACATTCAGCAGTCATTTAATGCAAAGCCGTTCTTTTCATCTGAGGTTTTTATGCCGGGTCAAGTGTTTCCTTCGAGATTTTGAGAGGGTGACACATGCTTTTTTTCTCTTTACCCGACTTGATCATGGTGATGCCCTCTACCCATCTTCTCGTTTTTTTCCAAATTCTCTCAATGCTGCTTTTTCCCCCCTTTGTACAAGGGACAAATCTGTTTTATCGTGCGTGTCTGCAGAACACTTCTCCATCAGCTCCAGAAACTCCAATCGCTTATTTCAGGGAAAGTTGTCCCACGCACTTGCAAAATGGCCTCGACTCAGACAGGGACGTGCCTGATGGTAAGTGTGGCGGCTTGTATTCTCCTGCCGTGGGTTTTGAATATACATACATGGCCAAACATTGTGTTGTTCTCTCTGTGCAGATGATGGCACTGTGTTTTGTCCTGGTGTTGGGCTCCTTCTCTCCTTGCCTCTCCCCTCTCTCCTTCTTCACTCACGCCTCTTCTTCCTCCTTACATACTTCTTCCCCTCCCTCTCAACAGTCAGCGGACCTGTACACCACCACTAGCGGTATGTTGCCTCGCAATAATTGTATCTTTCAAGTCAAGCTTTATTGTCAAATATGCTCTATGTGCAACATACAGCACAGATGAAATTACTTTCCTCTCAACCATAGTGCTAACATGCAGTGCATTGAAACACCCGCAGCTAAAAATAAGGGCAGCAAAACTGAACTGCATAAAAAAGACATCAAGACAGAAATATATAAATATAAACAAATAAAACAATTAATAGCAATCAACAGACCACCAAGGGCACTTGTGATTATTGCGGGTTAAATATAGGTAGTGCATTGTTTAAGTGCAATAATCGGACGTCAGATGCTGACAGAGAGTCACAGTCTGTGGCAGGAGGCAGGGGTGGGGGTGGGGGTGGGATGTGTGCGTAAGTGGGGCAGAACAGGGAGGGAGTTTCATTTAGAACGCCGCAAAGAAAAGTGCTACTATCTTTCTAGGGGATGTGGATTGATGAGTAAGAAAAGCAGACTTGTACAATCTGTGGCAGGGATGTCCAAACCCAATCCTGTATGCTTTATGTGTCTCCCTACTCCAACACACCAGATTCAAATGAGCAGGATCATTATCAGAGCTTGCTGATGAGCGCTTTATACTATAAATGTTAAACGAAGCATCCTTGAAAGCGCAAGAATAAATTGGTTTCCATAGTAAGAAAAGATGTTTGTTTTTAAATAAATACTGTACAGCGGAACTTTTCAAGTTCAACTTGAGATCCAATACAGTCCAGAATGCAACCAGAAATGTACCGGATGCACAAAAACTCAAGCGTTCCAAACACCATGCAAGATGCCAACATATTCATTTCAACAAGGAGACAAAGCGTTTCATTGTTTTTACGGTTCACGGTTAACTTCTAACAAAAAGAAACCCTAAAAACTGAACTTGGGAATTCACCTTCACATTTTTCAGACACAAAAGGCTGTATTATACAATTGTTTTTCTTTTCTCCCCATGTTGATACCGTCCAGGCCAACCAAATGACAGTAAGCTGTGTTCCTTTCTGAGTTGCAGTCCGCTCCCGCAGCCTACTCTTCTTCGACGAAGGGTCTCCACTGGAGGGAACTCCCGCAACGTTACTGGTGGAGAGGTTGCGGTCGCAAAACCACATCCAGACGAGCCGCCACACGGCTGATGTCCACAAGAACCAGACAAGCGGGCCCAAGTCGGACCACAGGTACCATTTATACCACTCCAAAGTTCTGCATGCTAAATGATGACCACCACTGACAGCGACGTCTACTTCATCCCCTTCAGAGAAACTAAACCAAACGACGGTTCAGGTTTCTTCTGACAGCTCGGACTGCCACAGCTGACCCTCCCTCAAGCTTCACGTAGCCCGCCCAAGCCACCATTGGCACATATTTTATATATGCATATATGAAGATCTCACATTGTTACATGGAATTAATGACCTCATAAATCTCACTCATGTTGTTATGTCAGCACACATTGCCCGCCACCGTTGGCTTCTCCTCAGCTTGCGCACTCTGCTAACATGGTTCAAAGTCGACCTATTCACGTCCTCTCACACGGGAAGCCTTTCAAGTGCCTTCCATTCATATCCAAACCACTTGGCCTTATACGATCGAGTCAAGAGTGCCAACTTAATACCCCGCAAATTGAATGTTTATCTGAGAGTTTGACATCAATTCATTTGTGGCTATGAAAGCTTTGTGAGTTCTAACTGCATTCAAGAGGTCTCTCCTCAACCTGACTTCATGGCATTCATTTTGCAACCCATACATTCTACACCTGTATTTTCCTACTGAAGAGTTCTGACAAGAGGGCGGGAAACGTGACATGAAGTATTTTTATGAAATTAAAAACTGTGCGTGTGTGTGTGTATATATATAGTTGCAGCATAAAAAATGAGCATATTTAAATTATGCAACAAAAAATATTAAATATTGTTTTAAATTTTAGTTGACATATTATCACTTTGGTTTTTTATGGTAAGTTTAAAAATGACAATATTGCTTCATAATATATTCCGAGCATTAAAAAAGAGCATATTTATGGTCTACAAAAAAAAAAAAATAAAACAAAAAGACATGTTGATCGTCGGGAATTGTGTAAAGATTTTAAATGATCGACATGATGGTGATGTGTAGTTATTATCATGTACTGCTCCGTGGGCACCCACCTGGGGATTTGTGTCTTTTTGCTGTAATAATTTTGTTTCACTGCCGCCACCAAAAATTACTCCCCCCACCCCTTTTTAAATCAGAGCGACTGTGAAATCAGGGCAAAAATAACAAACTTTGATTGACTCTTTGATTGGATTAGAAATACTTTGGCAAGTAAAATGCCTGTGTGGACGTATTTATTGCTGTTTATAGAAAATGTGTGTATATATATATATATATATATATAT